TCGTTGTCTACTATCCATGACGGCAAATTTATCTGTCTACACTAGCACTAAATGTTGGTGTATCCCTACAATGTACTGAATGATATATACGGAGTCAATTTTTAGGTACAAATAACATTATCCTTTAAATAATATAGGATGTGAGAGTTATTATAAAGAAAAGAAATTTAAGGGGGTGGGAGAGCCGGACTCTGCCGGAGGTCGTGTGGCGGTGTGGGCGGGCACAAGGGCATTTATATTTATCACACGCAAAGTCACAAATACTCCCCTACAAAATTAAATTAAAAAAAGCTTACTAATTCTGGACTATTATCGCAATTCTTTTTATATAAATTTAAAAAAAAATACAAATATCTTCTGGAAAGAAAGAAAGAAAGAGTTGGGTGAAAGAAAAGCTTACTTCACGAGCTCTCTTCTTCCTCCCTTCCTCTCTGAACTTATAAAGCCGATGATGATGATGATGATGTGTTGAAGAGATTGATTTCGAAACCCTAGACCTAGCTGGAAATTTGCTGATTGAGAGTTTTTTTGGAGGGGAAGACTTCACGGACTGAAATTAGCCCTACCTCTGTCGTCTTCAACCAGCTGTTCGCCCGCCAATCCTGTGATTCAAGCCCTTTCCACGTTGCAGTGAGCTTTGATTTCTCTTTAATTGATTCAGATGCGATTGTTCTCCTGCATTTTCGGATGTATTTATTCGGTTTTAGGGTTTTTATGATCGGGGATAAGACGGGGATGGCTGACGAGGGTTTCTGGTTTTCTCTAGGTATTTGTTGATGATAATGCCGGTTCTAGCTTGTTTCTGAACCAAGGAGATGGATCGCGCGGCTCTGACGGTAGGACCTGCGATGGATGTTCCGATCATGCACGACAGCGACAGGTACGAGCTTGTCCGAGACATAGGTTCCGGCAACTTCGGAGTTGCTCGGCTCATGAGGGACAGGCAGAGTAACGAGCTCGTTGCTGTTAAGTACATCGAGAGAGGTGAGAAGGTTAGTCTTCCTCTTCCAGTTCTTCCACTGAATTTCTTCTCAAGTTAGGCTTCAAATCACTGTCCTCTGTATTGTTGTGTGAGAGGGGGGAAAGAAATGGAGGATTTAGCAGTGTATATAGGTTGGGGTAATTTGTACATGGGTATTGATGTGGATTTTCTGTAGCTTTCTGGTCCTACTTTCTAGAGTAACCTCTGAAATGGACAAACTATTGGGGAACTGAACAGAAAATGACACTTTCTCTTCATCTCCATACCTAATTGTCTAAAATTAGGTTACACTATGAATTCATGAAAAAAAAACTACCTTTTTTGTAGCAACCTTCTTGACAAGGAATAGAAGTTAAAATTAGTTTTTTTACTTGCAAGAAAAATATCATGAAAAAGGTTCTCTAGTCATGTCCCATAACAATATTGATATTATAAAATTGATATGCATATTTTGGGACACTTCCGCTTGAATTTTGTTGCTGTTTATGCTTTTGTTATCCCTCTTCTTCCTGCATTTCTTGAGCTAACAATTGCACTCATTTTCAGCTTTTTATTGGATGGAAACTTGACCAAGGAAGTGATGCATATTCTTTTGCTAGATGGAAGCTATAAATAGAAAGTGGTGTTGCATAAGAACAATGATCTTTAATGTAGCCAATTCAGGATTTTTTTTTTTTGTGTAAAAAAACAATGCATCTTCCAATTAAATGATTAAATCACACATCATTTTCTACCAATTCTTATGCATCCGAGATTAGTAGACTGATTTACCTTCTGGGTTTTACTAGACCGGTGAATTTTAGTTTGTTATCTTGTTTAGCCATTGATTATATTTGCCATTATCTTGCATTCTGTAGATTGATGAAAATGTGCAGAGAGAAATTATAAACCACAGATCATTAAGGCACCCCAACATTGTCAGATTTAAGGAGGTATGCTCAGACCAAAGTTTATTTACATCTTCGTAGCTCTCATGCTTGATTAACCACACTGCTATTCATGTGAACATATGTTCCAGATCATATTGACACCAACTCATCTGGCTATTGTAATGGAATATGCATCTGGTGGGGAGCTGTTTGAGCGGATTTGCAACGCTGGCCGATTCAGTGAGGATGAGGTTTTAGTGAATGCATTAAAAAATACTCCCTCTGTCCCAAAAAAATCTTTATCCATTTTGACTTTCAAGGAGAAAAAGAAAAGTTTATGGTTAGAATTTGTTTGCATGAGAGAGAAGCTTGTGAGCCGCATGTTCATTACTAAAAAAGAGAATAAAGTGTGAAGTGTTTTTGGGGGCATCCCAAAAAAAGTGTGTATTATTTTTTTGGGATGGATGGAGTATATTGTTGCTTGATTCTTGCCTTTTTTATGTTTGAATTGTGCATTAGCAATAATTGGATTGCAGGCACGGTTTTTCTTTCAGCAATTAATATCTGGTGTCAGCTATTGTCATGCAATGGTACTTGAAATAAACTTTTCCTTAAAGAGTTGTGATATTAATAGTCAATTTATGTACTTTATGAGCAATGAGCAAACATAATTCTATTCTAACACTGCATTGAATGCAATTTGTTATGTAGCAAGTATGTCACCGAGACTTGAAATTGGAAAACACATTACTTGATGGGAGCCCAGCTCCACGACTGAAGATATGTGATTTTGGGTATTCAAAGGTACTGGGAAACACTGTTCTTTTTACAGCCTTAGTCTACACAGGATGTTTTTTTATCTTTTAGGTTACATTATTGTATTTAGTGTGTGTTCATAACATTTATCCACTCATTGGATAACACTCTATGTCACTCCTTTAAGGCTATGTTTGGAACAAGAAAATAGTAGGGGGGGATAAATGGAAAATGCCAACATAAATGATTTTTTATGTTCGGATTTACCTTGGAAAATACAAAGGAAAATCAAATTAAACTAAAACTTCAAAAATTTTAAGTATATTACAGAGCAGAATTTTAGTCTATTTAATAGTCATATACTAAGAAATGAGTTTGAAAAAAAATCTAAAAATTATGAACTCTTTTTCCCCCATAGTTTTTTTCCTCCCAAATTTTCAATATATCTTCTTCATGTTTATCCCCTAGTAATTCTGTGTTCCGATTAGATCATAAATGTTCAGGAAATAGCTATAAATACACAGCGCTGCAATTTTTTTTTGTTTTCCTATAATCTCACTTTCTTCCCTTTTATTGTTCACAATCATTCATTTCTGATCATTGGTTAAATTCTGATTCTTTTTTTTCAGTCCTCCGTGCTGCATTCACAACCAAAGTCAACTGTTGGAACTCCTGCCTACATTGCACCTGAGGTTTTGCTGAAGAAAGAATATGATGGCAAGGTGAAACCCCTAAATTTTAATTTATCTTTATAGATTTGTCTCATGCCTATGTGTATATATAGGATACAGATAGAGATAGTCATCTTGAAAATGTCTGTATTGTAACAGATCGCAGATGTGTGGTCTTGTGGGGTAACCTTGTACGTAATGCTAGTTGGAGCATACCCTTTTGAGGACCCTGATGAGCCTAAAAACTTCAGAAGGACAATTCAGGTAGCGCCTTATGCTCTGTTGTTCCTGCATGGTTGTATTTGGTTGACTTTCTTAACTTAAAGACTTTGGCTGTTCTTTTGTGCAGCGGATATTGAATGTTCAGTACTCAATACCAGATTATGTCCACATCTCCCCAGAGTGTCGCCATCTGATCTCACGGATCTTTGTGGCTGATCCCACACAGGTTGGATCACTAGTTCGTAATGTTGGTATAAGTTTTATCGATGCATTTATTAGATTCAGTGTGGTTTTCTGATCTAAAACTCTATTCTGTCTGATATTTGAACTACTCTGAATGCTTCCTCATGTATTTTAATAATCACGACGCTTTTTTGACATCATAGTTTATCCCTTGCTGTATATAATCTGTCAATCTCTACCCAGTGTAGTCCCTCAACTACACACTGTTACTGACCATTAAATTAAAAAAAAAAACTGATGATAAAATTGACCCTTAGTGTATAATTGGGTGACTAAATTGGATATTAACTCAAATCCGTATGGAATAATCAGTATACCCCACTCCATATTTATTCGAAGGTACATATGTAGTTTCACAGTACACTGGGAGAGAACCCAATAGGGTCATTTACCCTTTTTCTTTAATGCATATACTAACAATCCAATTGTCGAAAGAAATAGATGGAATCAAGTTTTGGATTTGAAGATCACACCCCGTATTAGAATTTTAGGACATGATATACGGACTATTTATTTCTTTATTTATTTTGAATTTTCATTGGCTTTTAAAACCAGAGGATATCCATTCCCGAAATCAAGAATCATGAGTGGTTCCTGAGGAACCTTCCAGCTGACCTCATGGATGACAACAACTCAAACAACCAGTTCGAGGAGCCTGATCAACCGATGCAGAGCATAGATGAAATAATGCAAATAATTACCGAGGCTACCATTCCGGCAGCCGGGTCCCACTGCCTCAACAGTTATCTCACTGGAAGCTTAGACATGGACGATGATGATGATGAGGAGCTGGGAAGTGATTCCGACATCGACATTGACAGCAGTGGTGAAATAGTATATGCAATGTGATATATTTCTGCTTATATAGCTGTGAGTGTGCCTGAATATTTTACAGGCAAACCCCTGCACTCCATGCCTCTTTCTTTTTTTTTTCTCGAACTGCGTGTTTTGTTTCGTCTTTTGTGCTTTGTGTAATATGCATTTTCTCTTTTCTCATCATATAGACATTGGTGTACTCCGAATCTCTGATCATAGTTCATATACTTTCTCTGTTGTAATTGAACAGTAATTCCTCTCTAGTAACCTATTTGCTTCATGTAATTTGTGAAGGTAAACATACAAATATGAAGTGCATATAGTCTGTATGATTTTTGAATTGAAAACATAGACATGTACTTGAAAGTAAATTGATTCATATAATTACATGAACAGTATTCTGCAGGAAGGAAAAAAATGGTACAAGTTCTATTCAATTAGAGTGTACTAAAACTTTTCTTGATTAAGTATATATTCGCACGACAAGCTCTTTGTGTTTTCCATTGGGAGAAGCCAAGACCTGTGCTGCTGATTTTGCCACTTAATATCCTTGGAAGATTGGTGGTGGCGGTGAAGCATATATAGACCCCAAATTGGGAGGAAGTTCTACGTCCTCAAAGACAGGTGGAGGGGGAGATTGCACCGGTGATGGTGGTGGTGGGGATTGCACTGGTGGTGGTGGTGGTGGTGGTGGTGGTGGGGATTGCACTGGTGGTGGTGGAGCAGTTGTAGGTGATGGCGGTGGTTGAGCTGGAGGAGAAGAGTGGGCTGGTGGTTGTTTATTATGAGCTGGTGGTGTTGACTTGGAGGCATGTGGTGCTGGTGGTGGAGGGGACTTGGATTTGGGCGGTGAAGTTGGTTTATGGGTGGATGGTGTTGGTTCATGAGGCGGCGGTGGCGGAGAGCCAGGTGATTTGGATTTGTGTGGTGGAGTTTGTTTATGAGTTGGCGGTGTTGGTTCATGAGTTGGGGAATGATGTGGGGGAGGAGGAGGGTTGGAGGATTTGGATTTGTGTGGTTTGGGAGTTGGTGGTGTTGATTCATGATGAGGAGGAGAGGACTTGGGTTTATGTGGTGGAGTTTGTTTCGGAGGTGGTGGTGGTTCATTAGTCGATGATTCGTGATGAGGAGGAGGTGGTGGGTGTGAAGATTTGGTCGATTTGTGTGGTGGAGTTTGTTTCGGTGCTGGCGGTGTTAGTTCACTAGTTGGAGCATCGGGAGGAGGAGGTGGTGGGTGCGAAGATTTGGTGGATTTGTGTGGTGGAGTTTGTTTCGGTGCTGGCGGTGTTTGTTCACTAGCCGGGGCATCAGGGGGAGGTGGAGGAGAAGATCTGGTTGATTTGTGTGGTGGAGTTTCTTTGTGTGTTGGTGGTGTTTGTTCACTAGTTGGGGCATTGGGGGGAGGAGGAGATTTGGTAGATTTGTGTGGTGGAGCTTGTTTTGGTGGTGGGGGCGGTTTAGGAGTTGAAGGTGCGGGACTAGAAGGCTTATTGCTCTTGTGTGGTGGAGTTTTATGGCCATGTGGTGGCTTTTCTTTCCCCGGCTCTGGCGTGGGAGTCGGGGAGCTTGGAGTTAGCTTCTCCTTTGTTGGTTCCGGAGCTTGGGCGCTCGGACTTGGAGAAGCTCTCTCATATCCTGGCTCAGGAGTTGGGGCAAGAGGGATGGAGGGGCTATCGGCCTCAGGTGAGAGCGGTTGTGCCTCTGGACTTGAACCCGGAGCCAGAGAGATTGACGGGCTTTGAGCTTCTGGTGCTGGAGAGATGGTTGGGCTTGAACCTTCCGGTGCCAATGTTGGAGACCCGCCCGTGCTAGGTGTTGGGACAAAAGAGTTTGAGCCCTGAGGTGCCGGAGTTGGAGCTTTCTGACTAAAAGATGGAGGCAAAGAGATTGACGGGCTATATGGTTCCGGCGCAAACGATGGTCCCCCTGGACTAGAAGCCGGGACCATGTAGATTGACGGACTGGGAGCATCTGGTGCTAGAGTTGGGGCACTGGGGCTCAAGTCCGGACTAAAAGCTTCAGGTGCAAATCCTGACGCATCCGGGCTCGGAGCTGAAACCTCTTGCCGTGGACTAGAAGCCGACACAACAGATATTGAAGGGCTCGGAGACTCTGGTGTCGGCGTTGGAGCTTCACCACCCGAAGCCGGTGAAGGAGACACGGCTGGGCTATAGCCTTCTGGAGTCTCGTTGTCGGAAGTCGGAGGAAGAGAGATTGACGGGGTAAAATCCGTCTCAGGCACCGGAGCCGGAGCCTCTGGAGAGGGAGAAGGCTTAGGAGGCGGTGGAGAAGGAGATGACTTAGGAGGCGACGGTGGAGAAGAAGAGGAAGAACCTTTCGGTGACTCCGATTTATGAGATTCATGGCCGTGATGCTGCTTATGTGATCTCGGACCAGTTCCTTTAGGTGCCCCTCTGCAACCGGATTTACTGCAATCCACCGGTTTGCTCAAAACCCGGAGACATTCTTTCTCTGATTTCTGCCCTGGCCTTCCTTCCAAACAATTCCCAGAATCATTCAGATCAATCCCCTCTTGCGGCGGCACACATGATGCGTCCTCTTGTTCGAAATAGTTGTTGGCGAATGAGAGGTTCTTGAGCTCCGGCAAAGAACAGAGCGTGTCCGGGACGATGCCGGAGAACATGTTGTTGGAGAAGACCATGCTTTCTGCACTCTGCATGAACTCCAACCCCACCGGCAAGTCTCCGACGAGCTTGTTATTGCTGACGTCAAACACCGTCAGGTTCCGGAGGAACGTGATTTCCTCCGGCAAGCAACCGGAGAACTCGTTGTTCAGTGCCAGGATTTGCTCCAGGCTGTCCTCCATTCTCCCGATGCTCTTCGGAATGCATCCGGTGAACTTGTTGTTCGCAAGGATGATCAACGAGGCGGTCGAATTCCCGAAATTCTCCGGGAGGTTCGACTCGAACCGGTTGTTGTTCAAAAAGATGACGTCCATGCCCGGCTTGTCGAACAAACCGGGCGGCAATTTCCCCTCGAAGTCGTTAAACCGCAAATCAAGGAACTTCAATGGGACTTCGAGAACGACGTCCGGGAAGGGCTCGACGAAGCGGTTGTTGCTGAGATCGAGCTCGTAGAGGAGCTTCAGCTTGGAGAGACTCTTGGGGATGATTCCACACAGGCGGTTGGAGTTCAGGTGGATGACGGCGACGTCCGTCAACAACCCGATCTCCACCGGGAGGTGGCCGGCGATGTCGGCATGGTTCAAGTCAATGCCGGCGACCACCCACGACTTCGGGTCGTCGAGCGCGTGGTCGCAAAACACTCCGTTGTACGAGCAGACGTCGGGGCCCACCCAATTGGCGGTCGTCTTCTTCGGGTCGGAGAAAATGGCATCCTTCCACGCCTGTAACGCCACGTAAGCTTTCTTCTGCCGGTCATTGGCGAACTTCAGCTTCGCGTCGACCTTGATCTCGAAGTCATCGGGAATGTCGAAGTCGCCGGAACTGAGGAGCTGGCGGCGGGTGATGTATTCGACCTCGGCGGTCGTCAAAGCATGAGAGGAGGATGAGAAGGACGCGACGGCGAGGAGGAACAGGAGGGAGCCCACGGCCGTCGTCATGGTCGGAACGTTAGCCAATGGTCGCCGCTGCAAATAAATTGGCCAAAGGCCGGTGACGATTTGAATTGGAAGGAAGGATGGGAAAATGGTATATATATAATGGAGGATTAAGATGTTCCATTAATGTTGGAAAGACCACAAGTTTTTTTGAGGGAAACATGAAACCTCGGAGGGTGCTACATTTGCCATTTGATTTGGATGGGTATGCTAATTTCAATGGTTATTAATAATTACGGAGTATTATTTATCCATGAATTAGTTACGGTATACTTTTTTTTTACAGAAAAAAGTAATGAAATATTTGTAATAAATAGCACTAAAATTTAAGTTATTTCCCTAAATAGCACTTAAACTGTTTTATTCTCTAAATAACACTTAATAATGTCCATAATGTCTAGTGATGACGAATTTTTACTTGAATAATAACTAATGCATAATGACTAAAAGTGATACATTGGGAAGAAAAACACATGTGGTACTATTTAGGGAAAGTCATTACGAAGTATGTTTTAGTGCTATTTAAGTAAATTTCCCAAAAATAATGATGTTTATGTTCAAAAAAATGAGTGACAAGTGACCAACATTTTGTGATACGAGTGGCAATGTCTAAATTTTGTATTATACAAATTTTGTTTTTACACCTTTAATTGAGTACATTTTTTCTTTATAATACATCCGGAGTATGTAGAAGTTTGATTATTTTTATTATTTTATTTCAAGCCAGTCTTCTACATAATCACAAAAAGAGTAAATTGTTTCACATTAAAAATTTCTAATAGGAAATTAAGGTGGTTAGTCCCAGAATCATTTTTTTGTGTGACACCTCAAGTTTGTGATTATTTTACTATATTTTACTATATAAAGTGCGATATAAGATTTTTTATTTGAAATAGAAAATGTTGAATTATTAGTGTCATTTTTTTCTTTCAATTAACAAAAAAACAAAAAAAACTGTCTTTTGGAACTTCAGGTAGTAGTGTAGTACTAAGAAGAAAACTTTTTGTCTAAATATGGTTTGAGACAAAAATAATAAGACATAATTTGTATAATTAGGATAAGTTGAAAAACCAAAAGCAGTAGAGGCAAATTAGGATAAGCTGGAAAAAATAGGAAAGAACAAAAAATTATTTGACAAAATAAAATTATGGAAATAAATATATACGTAGTAATTAAGATTTAAGAAATTAAAAGTTATTGTTTAATTTTAATAGTAAAATATAAAGAGTAAATTACATGATTGATTTCTTTATAAATGATGCATCGTTTGTGAATTGTAGTCACTTTCAACAACAACCATAGTATATAGATGTAGTCTTTTGTCAGAATCTTAGTCTACAACTATACTCATTATTGTAGTATTGTTTGTTTAACCGACATCAGAATATATCATTGTACATATGGTTGATGTGAAATTATATTTTTAACCCTCAAATTCATACTAACATGACGATAAGTCAAAAAAGACTATTTGTCAGTAAAAGTATCTAAAAAAGGACTATGACCATAATATTTGATAATAAAGGGTTAAATATGAAAAATTATCTGTTATAAAGAACCAATTATAGAATTACTCAAATATAAACATGGAATATTGCAAAATTACAAAGGAAATATACAATATTTTGATTGATTTACTGTAGGCCATGTTCTTTTGGATTAGAATTTCAGAGTTGGATATTGAAAGAAACAGAAAAAAATTATAAAATATTGAAACAAGTTAGAAAATGTTAGAAGATTTAAAGTGTTAAAATGTCACTCAATTAAATGATCATCCAAATAAACATGTAGGAAAAATTAATTTAAGATAAAAAAAAGAATTCATCCTTAGATTGTCCATGTTTGACGTGGTATGTTATAAATTTAGATATATTACAATGTTATTGTATAATCATCATATATAAATATCTTTTTTAACTGTTATGTGAAGAAATTAAAAGAAGTTGGAAAATATTAAAAGGAACAAAAATTAAAAGTTAATTTTTCTAACAAAAAAACAAGGCCTTAATAGTTCATGTTAAGTTTGTTAACTAAACTATTTTGAAGAAAAGAAATACCCCAGAGCATGTTTATATAAATCTTGTCACTACTTGTGTTTTTTATTAATTTAATGGCATTGATAATAAATAGTATCCCAAATTATGTTCTAAAAATATACACCAGCATTTTAATGGTTTATACTAATACAAAATGTAAATTTAATAAAAAAAATTGTGCTGATATCTTGTGGATAGAGATAACTGAATTCTAAAAGGTAACGAATTCAAAGAAATTATACTCCCTCCGTCCCAAATTATTTGCCACATTTGTTTTTTCAACAGTCGCGGGAACTTTTGTTTATTTCTACGTTTTCATTGGTTATTTGATAAAATAAAATATTCTTGACACCTCTTATTTCGAAGAACTTTTCATGTAGTTTTTTGATATGTAATTTTTATTTTTTATTTCTTTACCAATATGTAAATAAAATGAATTGAAAAAACTTAATATTTTGCCTCAGTAATAGAAATGTGACAAATAATTTGGGACGGAGGCTGTACAAGAATACGGAGAACTGTATTGGCCAACCTTCTTACCAGAGAGTTCTTTACCGGCCAAAATTCCTTTTATGGTCCAACTCCAACTTCTTGCCGGCCGATTTACAAAAAAAAAAAAAAAAAAAAAAAAGAATCTTTGTTTTTTTCCCACGCATTTTCTCTCTCATCCGTCCCGCACCACACTCAAACTCCAATCATACTCGGGAAAGGTAAACTCTTCAAATCGCCGATTACTCCTTTTTGCAAGTGGAAAAATTGCCTGTGAAAGGTTAAATCTTGTCCCGGCAAGCGGCCAAATCTGGAATTTGTGCTCCGGGCGTTTCCCTTTGAACCGATTGATTTATATATGCTTTGATGCGTTGAGCTGCAAGACTGTGAAATTCTAGGGTTCTTCGTTTAGAATGAAGCCCATGGAGGAGACCCTTCAAGATCTGATCGAAGAAGCCAAGCTTCGAGCTGTTTGGTGGGCTCTCTGTATATTCTCCGTTTGCTACTTCTTAACACGTAAGTTCACACTTCTGCGCTTTCGTTTGGCTGATTTTTCCATAAAGTTCATGTCTTTCTGGAAATTTGGAGTTTATTTCATATAAAGAAAACTGTTCTTGCTTGGGGTGCATTTGCTAAAAAAACGTATCTTTTTCTGTAATTCCCTACCATGGGGTTTATGGAATTTGTGTCTGGAATATTTTGATGATTGCAGACACTAGTAAGTCAATGTGGATGAATCTGCCAGTGGCTATATTGTTGGTTTGTGGGCTTAGGATGCTATTGAAGGAGGTAGAATTTTCTTGGAGAATTCAGAATGTTAGACCAAAGACATACTTGTCACATTTAGGAAAGAAGCAACTATGTATAGATGATTCTCGACTACCGGCATCGCCGCCGCTGCCAAATTGGAAGAGCAAAATCGACTCACCCCTTGTGGAGTCAGCCATGGAGGATTTCATTCAGAAGCTTTTGCGCGATTTTGTAACAGACCTGTGGTACTCTGTTATCACGCCTGACAAGGAGGCGCCTGAGCTAATACATGCTATAGTCATGGAGGCTCTTGGAGAAATTTCACATAGAGTTAAACAAATCAACCTTGTTGACTTGCTGACCAGGTATTTTGTTTTCTTTTTGTTCTGTTATCATATATGCTCAATTAAGTTTTGTGCAGTGAAAGATTCCGGAAAAGCTTCTGGGAATAAATTGATGATGTTCGAGAGTTAAACCCCTTAAAAATTCTCTTAAAGGGGAGGGTAATTCCGGAACTGCACAAACTTTTCCCTGAGCTTTTCTCTGCACATATCCTTTCCCTTTTCTTGATTCTGAACCATTTTTTGTCAATATAATTAAGGGATGTAGTGGACCTAATAGGGGACCACTTGGATCTTTACCGAAGAAACCAGGCTTCTATCGGCGTGGATGTTATGGCAACTCTGTCTTCTGAAGAAAGGGATGAGAGATTGAAACACCATCTGCTGACCTCACAAGAACTTCATCCTGCTCTAATATCTCCAGAGTGTGAGTACAAGGTGTGAGTAGAGTGTTCTGATGATTTTTTTTGTAATTTCAATTGATTGTTAGTTTTGGATTTAAATATTCAAGTAATGCTTTTTTCTTTCTTTATAGGTCCTCCAGCGGCTCATGAGAGGAGTCCTAACTGTAGTTCTGCAACCAAGCGAAGCTCAATGCCCGTTGGCTCTATGTATAGCTAGAGAATTGCTAACATGTTTGGTTATGCAACCTATTTTAAATTTTGCAAGTCCAGGGTGAGTTATCTTTACACTTTGAAATATGGGTTATGTCATGGCGATCCATGAATGCCCAACACCTACTACCATGTTTTATTTTTAATTAATAAAATCCAGAGTTAGTTGGGTATTTGAAGTACTGCAGCTTTTCATTTATCTATCAAGTATTTGGTTGTGTGCAATTAGCTTAAGTTTCTGAATGGTTTGTTTGTTTTACAAGAAAATAGATAAGAGAGAAACAGGATAGAAAGCCTCTAGTGTTGTTATTTGGGTAGGAGAAAAATAGAAGAGCGGGGTCCACAGTACTTTTCTGTTATCTCATACCAAACAATACACTAAACAATGTTTTGTACTGCTTTTTTTAGTTATAATTCCATAACGTAGATCTCACCCATTGCCCTCTGATATTCAAAAATAAATGAGACTGTTCTACTTAGAGATGTTCATAGAGTTTATCAATTTCTTTCTGCTTTCTTGATTGAATGAGGTTTGGATCTTCAAGTAGAGTAAAAGCTTCTTTTTGTGTCTAATACCGCTTGAAATTTTGCAGGTATATCAACGAGTTGATTGAATATATTCTCCTTGCAATTAATGACAAGGGGGTCACAGGTACAGGCAATACCCAGTCATCCAATTCAGAGAGTCATAATCATGATCTAATGGGTCCTTCCGAAACAATGCACTCTAAATCTTCATTATCATCTAATAAAGCGGATGATCATCATCAGCGACTATTGTCATCCTCTGAAGGTTTGGAGAATAACTCATCTAATATAATAACTCAAGAAGATGAGCGCACCCCTCTTCAGCCTGCTGACTGGGCACGTGTCCTTGAAGCAGCAACTCAGAGAAGAAAAGAAGTTCTTATGCCTGAAAACCTTGAGAACATGTGGGCCATTGGAAGAAATTACAAAAAGAAGCTCCAGAAGAAGGATCTTCAAGTTCATGTGAGACAGTCACTCCCTAGGCGTCATCCAAACTTTAAACCTCCTACGGCTCAGAGTAATACTTTTGCCACATTAATTAGCCATGAAAGCAGAGGAACCACAAAGCTTAAGAGATCAAACAGCACTTCTGATTTGAGTAGTCAACCAAATATGGAAGGGCCTGTTATTTCAGATTTTTACACCCCAGAATCTAGAGGGAATGCTGAAGTGCACAGCACCAAATGTGCTTCTTCAGAAATGATTTTACAAAGTGATGTACATCAAGTACCAAAGCTCAAGTGCCGGGTAAAATTAATACTTGTATTGTTATTAGGTCTTGAAGAGGTGTAATATGATAATTTAAGCAGCCAGCTTTATGAATACGGGTCATCGACTGATTCTATTCGCAGTTATTGTGATGTTCTCTTCCTTCTGGTCTGACAGCTGGTTCTTGATAATGCATCAGGTTGTAGGAGCATATTTTGAGAAAATGGGCTCAAAATCTTTTGCAGTTTATTCAATTGCAGTGACGAATGCTAGCAACACTTGGTTTGTAAAGAGAAGGTTGTGTTTGTTTTTAATCTTTTCTTGAATGGCCAAAAATAGTTATCTTTCACAGGTTCACATGTGTCTTGTTATATTAATATATGTATTATTTTCCATGATTTATTAACAGATACAGTAACTTTGAGAGATTGCACCGGCACCTGAAGGACATTCCAAATTACACTTTACATTTGCCTCCTAAAAGGATTTTTTCTTCAAACATGGAGGATGCTTTTGTTCATCAGCGTTGCCTTCAGCTTGATAAGTATCTGCAAGTATGTTTCCACATTCCAAAAGCTTTTTTCTCACTAAAAGAGTCATATTTGATGAAGAAGCTATTTTTTTATGTAATTTTCCATAAAGAGTTACAAAAAAGTCAAACATGGTAAATTTAGTTAAACTAATCGTTAGGTTTTATACGTATGCTACGGGTTTCACGACTTATGTGATTTGCCCCTTTCCAAAATTTTGAGGTTGTACGCTTACTAGACATGATTCTTTTTAGTATGGATATGGAGTCATAAAGTTTAAATTTGCGGTCGTCTTTTATAGCTTGTTTCAGTCCCATCCTCTTTTTTTCTAGGATCTGTTGTCAATTGCTAATGTGGCTGAGCAACTTGAAGTGTGGGACTTTCTGAGTGATTCCTCTAAGGTTTGTACTTCCTGCAGTTTTGTTTGTTCATGCTCAACCTAAGAAAATAATAACCCTTTATTTACATGAATGAAGAATTACTCCTTTGGGAAATCGTCTTCCGTGATGAGAAGCTTAGCAGGTATTTGGCACCTTTCTTGTCTTTTATCTTCACTGTGCTTCATATCGGGACTTGCTACGGTTTGTTTTACCAAAAATAACTTGTCAAAAATATTTTTTGAGGAAAATGTTTTAAGGAAAACAATTTCCTACAAGGCTACCAAATGAGTTGTTCTATGTACTACTATGATCTTTGGCTAAAAAAACAGAAAACAAAAAAATGTTTTGGGGAAGCGTCTTCTTGTTTTCAAAATGGGAAGGCCTGTTTGTTTGAGTTGTTTGTAGCTGTTCCATTTAGGATGGTTTTTGAGATATTTTAGATTTTGGGTATTTGTTTGAGTTGTAAACTGTTGTTCTTGTGATGTAAAATAACTGGTAAGTACATTTATTTAAGAAGCCTTCACGCCTAGAATAGTTCAAAAACTCTCTTTCCTTTTGTGCTTTGTGAAATAAGTGTATCCAGAAATATTTAATATTTGGTACTTATGGTTGTTACACTAGTTATTCTTTAAATGATTTTATTTTTAATATTGGGCAGTTAATGTGGATGATGCTATGGATGACATCGTGCGTCAATTTAAAGGAGTCTCAGATGGTCTAGTGAGGAAAGTTTCCGGCACCCCTTCCTCCTATGAACCGGTGGCTGCTAGTTTATCCGGTAACTCTCAGAGAGAGACACCATGGAGTGGTGATGAAGTTGGCAAACTGGCATTGACACAAAGTACGTCGGAGTCGGCTAACAGTTATAATTCTGACGATGATGATATAGGCACCAAGGTTGGAACAGAGTCAAGTCCACTAGTCAACGGATGGCATTCTGACAATGAATTGAACTCAAAAGAGTTCCCACCCAGAGTGGTTAAACACGACGAAAAGTTTATTGGATCGCTTAGCCCTGAAGCATGTTCGGCAATTGTGCCAAGTCAACCACTCGATCCAAGCAGGGTGCCTCCAGAGGTCATTTTCCAGCCATAGTTACATTCTTATAGAATTCATATGATTATTTTAAAGATTTCTTCGCAATAAAATACATTTCGTGCTTCTTTTTCCATGCAGTGGACCCCTCCTAATTTAAGTGTGCCTGTTCTGAATCTGGTGGACAACATTTTTCAGCTCAAGAGAAGAGGTTGGTTAAGGTCAGCTGCATAAGACACTCTTGTATCCTTGTTAATTAGATTTACTCTATTGCAAGTTTAAATCTTTTGTAATGTAAAAGTAAATGAAATTGCTTCTTGTGTGAGTAGGAGGCAAGTGTTTTGGATATCGAAACAAATATTGCAGTTAATGATGGAGGATGCAATTGATGACTGGCTGTTACGGCAAATTCATTGGCTTCGGAGAGAGGATGTAATCGCCCACGGAGTACAATGGGTCCAAAATGTAAATGTCTCTTTTCATCTCATCATATCATTCATCAGAAACTTATTTCATCGATCCCAAATCCTTACTGTCTTGTGTGATTCTACTGGGCTTGTTGTTTTTTGTGTTCCTTTTTCTTAAATTTCTCTCTATAGATTTTATGGCCAGATGGAACTTTCTTCTTGAAATTGAATGCTCAAAGTGAAACGAACATTGGTCAGCCAAATAGAGAAGTGGAATCTGGGATTAGGGTGCCCTTCAAAGAAGGATCTTTTGAGGAACAGCTTGAGGCTGTGCGCAGAGCTAGTGAAGTGAAGAAGATGCTTTTCGGTTAGTTATTTATTTCTTTCGTTACAACCACATTCTCTAACCTTAACACTATGTTTGGCTCTAGGAATCTGAAAGGGAAAAGAAAAGAAAATGAGATAATCAAAAAAACAATTTTTGTTGTTTGGTTGGAGAGGAAGAGAAAAGAAAAGAAAAGTGGTAGGAATATAACCAAGAAGACAAAATGAACTATAAGAGTATAAGAGGTAGCAACTGGCATTTTCTTTTGATCAAGAAAATGACAGAAAACCATTTTCTTTCCCCCCCCCCCTAATTCCGAGAACCAAATATAGTGTAAAGCTCTCACCTTTTCATTCTTTTTTCTATAACTTTTTTTCTAGATGGTGCGCCCGCCACTTTAGTAGGCTTGATCGGTCATAAACAGTACAGACGATGTGCCCGAGAGATATATTATTTCCTTCAGGTATGAATTTTTGTGGGTTTTTTTTGTCTGATACTGTTGAGGATATAGTCCCACATCAAACACTCAGGGCTAAAGGAGGTTTATGAATTGTGCAGTCTACTGTCTGTTTAAAGCAACTGGCATTTGGGATCCTCGAACTCTTACTAGTTACCGTTTTTCCCGAGTTACACAACACCGTGAGAGACATTCGCGCTCAATCTCCATAAGGGGCACCTTCGTCTTTTTACATATTCAAAGACAAAGCGAAAGATATCCATGAAGCGTCTATGGTGCCGCCGGGCAGTCGAATTCCAGAATGATGAGTCTGAATGCACACATTTGGTGCCGTGTATGCTTCATATATGTTGTACAGATTGTAAAATAGATTGTTGATGTATAGGGAACTTATTGGTGACCAATTTTATTCATTTATTTATTTATTATTGTTGCATATTTTATTGGGGTGGTGTGGTGTGCATTTGTAGCTCTGAATGACAGTAAAGATGCTAAATTTTGTTTTTTTAAAGATCATTGGGCACTCTAATTTTTCAGATACTTTCTTTGTCTCAGAAAATTTTTTCTGTTTTGAATCAAATAATCTCTAACTTTTCTTGTTAGAGATTAGTGTTAGTGTTTTGGATAAAACTTAACGGTGCAGATTTTTTTGAAAACGCTAACGCTGTTCGTAGATAGCCTTATTAAAACGCTAACGTTAATCTCTAATATTATTTCCATACAGACATGTACGGAGTAGTATATTATCAAAACTTCGACAAAAAATATTTAGTGGCACTAACAAATTAAGCCTTTTTTGTGAAGTACACCGTATATGAAGTTTACAGTATAGAAATATGATGATATTCATGTTCTGGTGTCATCATCATCATTGTTGTAATAATTAGCCATGAATGATGATGATGGTTAGAAGAGGTTCTTGAAGGGATTTGTGATGGAGTCCCTGAGACCAGAGTAAAGGCCATAGAGTGAATATTGTCTGAGGTTCTTCACCTCGTACCAGCTGTTGAAGACGACATCGTTCTTGTCCGTGCCGGAAAACGCCAGCTGTATGCTCAGGTTACAGTCCACCGTTCCCCCATTTCCGTCGCATTTCTCCGCCGGGATTGCGCAGTCTGTGTTGTTGAGGCAGACAAACGAATCCCCATTGTTGCAGGAATCACACCCGAACTTCTTCCAGTACAGGTTCTGTAAAGTGCCCTTCTGAAATTCCAAAACCTGCAACAATTAAAAAGAACCATAATTGCCCGTAACATTTCTTGGGTATGAATAATCAATTTTTAAAACTCAATTTACCAAGGTATGGCCGGTGATGATGTGATTCTTGTCGGAGACGAGGACGGGGAGGGAGCGAGCGGCGTATTGCCGTCCGGCAAAGGCGACCATGTGACCATCCGCCTTGGTGCTGTTGATGGTGAGCAGGGAGATCTCGTCGACCTTCGGCCGGAAAACGGCGAGCTGGGCGGATTTGCCGGAGAGTGACAGCCGGCGATCGCAGGGCGAAAGCTGTGTCTGGTTGAAAAAGAAGTTTTCCCGGGAGGAGAAGACCAATCCGAATGTGAACCCGTCCTTTTTCTGAACCTTGGTGTCCAAACATGGATCGAACACCGAATTTGTGTCCTCGGATTTTGCAGATTCCATCATAATCATCATCATCATCGCCATCATCATCATCGGCGACGGCCCCGCCATGATTTCCGGCGCCGTGTTTGTTAATTCGCTCGTCTCCTTCCTTTCTGAAATGTCTGGGATCTTGAAATTCGTCGAGATTAAGAAGAATAAACGAGAAATTCAACCAAGAAATAAAAGTGGAAAGCAAAAGAATGCGGATAAAGCCGTTTTGGATTCTTTTCTTGTTTTGAAATTGGGGAATTTGTCGGGGAGAAGACGGCGACGGTGACGGAGGAGTGTGGGTGCCGGGACTAGAGAACAAAACGACAGCAATCAGCGGATATTTCTGCGTTTGATAAAGGAAACTAAAAAATAAAGGTTGTTTTTACTTTTTACTGTTTTAGGCAAAACACTTTACGGAAAGGAAGCAAGGTAATTAAAAACTGTTCGAGTAAAAATTACTCTTATGGAGGTGCGGGGAATCGAACCCCGTGCCTCTCGCATGCGAAGCGAGCGCTCTACCATATGAGCTACACCCCCGATTGATTTTCATAGCGTATTAATCTAAAATAACACAAACTCTCTCCCTTTATGTGCAAATTTTATTTTTACTATCTACTCCGTATAAAATTCCTCTGTGTTCATTCGCTTTTATCATTCGTTATACACAATAGTACTCCCCTCCTTTTATATCTTTTTTAAGTTAAGTAAAACAAAGATAAATTCTACGGTTTTTTGATTTATTTTATTTAAATATTGGTATAAAAATAAAACTTATATATTAAAAATTACATTAAAAGTTTAACAAAATAATTAATGAAAAAAAATATTATTTTATCATATAGGTCATTAAAAACATAGATGGATAAAAGTTTCTATGAGGTTCTAATAGTATTTTGTAAAGAAGGATATAGAATGGAGGAAGTAATATAGTTCTCCCTCCGTCCCATTTTAAATTGTTTGTTTTTCTTTTTTATCCGTCTCAAAAATAAATTACATGTTTCCTAATATAGTAGAGTTTTGGGAATAAAATATTTAAACTACTCTTAAATGATTCACCTTATCTATCCACCTTATTCCTCGTTATCCGCCACTCATTTGTTATCTTTTTGAAGAGGTTACAATGAAATTTTGGATCTTGTTTTCTCATCTCTTTCACTTTCAATCACATAATTTTATTTTGTTTTAAACTCTTTACCTAACCAAATGTAGACTACAAATTCAAAACAAAAAGAGTATTCAACAATAACTTTTGGTGTTGAGTATTTTTCAAATTTAATTTGCATCATCCAAAAATTAGACTCTTTATTAAAGTTATTTACAAACATTATTTCCTTTGTCCCAAAAAAAAATTCCGGAGTTCTATTGGCCATAAAATTATATCCAAACATTGAATTTTATTTGAGAATGAATGTTCCCAATCTTATTCCGGAGGGAACCACGCACCCGGTTTTCTCCTAAACCAATCAACAAAAATACCCACAGAAACATCTCCCCATACCCACACACACACACATAAATACATCCTTAATTCCCCCAAATTTTTCATCCAGTAACAATTCATCATCTGCAAATTTATTTGACCATCTTCATCTTCTCCAAGAAACAAAACCAGAGAAGAAGAAAGATATGGCTGCATTGGTTGAAGCTTGTATGGTCCAGCTTGCAAAGCTCAAGGAAAAAGTTCAATCCTCCACAACAAACCCATTTCTCCTCAGACCCAGAAGAAACACAGGCCCTGCTCTGGTCTCATCTTCATCTTCATCTTCTTCGCCTGCTCCGCAATCATCGGTGGATGATACAGAGTCCACCATTTTCTTGATCATGGACCGCTTTGCCCCTTACTAAAACAAACCCCGGCGCCAGGCTTTGAATAATCTCCCGTCTCGCACGGTTTTCCCCAACCTTTTAGCATAGTTTACGCTAAAGGTCGACAAAACCGAGCGAGACAAAATCTAGAGAGCATGAACCAACATGTGTGTGTATGTATATAAGTATATTCATGTCTTTATGTTTCGCTGTTTGTACAAATTTCTCTCTTTTTCCCCCATCTTATTTAGACTAGACATACATGTTCACAAGATGGGATGGAAGTTGTAAGTTGTAGCATTATTTGCTACACAAGACATTGAATGAAAACATAGTAACTTCTTTCATTGATCATGCAAGTTTGACACCATTGATGACACTGACACGTACGGACAATCATTATACGTAACCGCATAGATACATCATCAATGATGTCAAACTATGACATCGCGGTGAGGAGGAGAAGAAGATATGATTAATGGTTACACACTTGTGCTAACCTCCGTGTTCTCCGCAGCCCATTCGTGCAACACCAAATCTTCCTCTTCGTCCCAACTGAGAATCTCGCACGCGTATTTTAGAGCATCGTTGACGGATTCGCCCTTGACCCCCGTGACTTGCGAAACGTACAGTTTCCGCCCCGTTAGCGCCTTGTACGTCGCTTTAAACTGCGAGGCGATGTAGTGGAACGCGCGCTGCGCCAACGACGGGTTACTTCCGTTGTTGGAGTGGCGGCTGATTATCGGATTGAAGTCGCGGAACCACTCGCATTGACAAAGAGGGAATTGTTCTATGAGTTCCTCTAGAACATCAAACTTTGTGAGCAATAGGAGGAAATGTTTATGGGCGAAGGATGGGTGAGTCGCGATGCTCTCAAAGAGTTTCTTGCTCTCCACCATCTTGTTAGTGACCATGCCATTGTCATCTTCAAGATCCTCTATATAATCCGTCAGCGAAACCGCGTATAGGACAATGTCGGCATCCTCAAACATCTCCAAGAACTTGCACTTCTCCCCCAGGCTGCTCGCGTGAGCCCTCGTCAGCTCACACCTGCGCATGTATTGCATCACTAGAATCACTCAACTGGAAAATGAATCAATCCTAAAAGAATGGGTGAATCGTAATTCAACTCAGTGAGTGAACAACATACCGAATGGATGAATTGTTTTGACCCATGGTCGTCATGTAGCTATCATTAGAGAGCTTGGAGAGGGGGAATTCGACCGAAGCAACCCCATTTGCTGCAGAAGCACAACCCTCGGCGTACAAGATGTCCATGGAGGAAGGGTCATAGTCAGGCCGGGAGATCTCGACTGCCCGCTCTAAGAAATGGGCAGCGACTCTGGGCAGCATACGCAGCTCAAATCTGCGCTGATACGTCGCTTGGAAAGCTTTGTCCTTCCACAGCTCCTCTACCCATGGGGAATACTCGCGCGTAGCCGCAGGGAAAATGGCTTCAAGATTTCCTGAGATCCATACTTGGAGTAGCCAATCCGCAATCTTCTTGAGCCGTGGACTCATTGAGTAAATATTCTCTTCATCTTCTTGCTCATGGATCACTGAATGAAGCAACCAAGTTTGTACTTTTTTTTAACTTTTTAGCGAAAGCTAGGGGATAGTTATATATATATAGTGCAAGTAAGAATGTACCTGAAGGGCCGGGTTCATCTATGTGTTTTTGCCTGTATATAATTCGGTAGCCTTCTTCGAATTGATTGCGACCCTCTAACAATATGCATATGTACTTGTACAAATTGCCCTGGATGACGTGTTTGAAACATTGGCGCTCATTTTCCTCGAAACGAACATCATTTTCAATTTTGGCCTGAAAAAGAAGGATTAAGAACCATCATATCCACGAATGAAATCACATAAAAAGTAGGGTCTGGAAAGGATGTGTGTACAAAACTGACAAAACACGTAAAGCATGCATACACTGATACACAATATACCTGTTTAAAAATAGTACTCGTCCCGGATCGATCACAACCAACAAGTAATAGCTTGTAAAGATATGTTTGATCCTGGCGATCGTTGTCTATATGTTGGTCATTTTCTTGTCTACTTGAACGCGAGGGCTTGGGAGGAGTTGGTAATGATGCAATGGCACACGCTAGGTTCACTCCTGTCTGCAAATGAACATGGACATACATCACGTCTACATTCATTCATCTTTTAATGTATCCAGAAAACTCATAATCGTTGGTTAAAAAAACTGTTAGAAGTATACCTTTTCCCAAAGATTCCCCATAACATTCTTCATACCTTCATGCTGGTAAGTACCATCGGCCTGCAGCCAGAAGTGAACGCCCCGATCGCAATGGATTCCAATCACCTGCAAAGTGTTAAAGATTCCTCAAAACCATCTAAACTTTGGTGATCTCAAATGTTTAGGTAAAACTAAGGCTTCACGGCGCATCCTATACAAACCTTCATCATCCATAGCTCTGCCCCTGTAATCTCCCGGCCGTTTATGATTACATCGGTGTTTCCATTGCTAGCATCTCGCTTGATTGTTTCACCTACTGATAGCTGGTCACTAATAATTTGACAAGGTCTCTCTCCCTCCTATTCAACCAATGAAAGATTCCGAAACGGTTACAAGTCTTATAACTTGTTGGGCATATCAGATTATCACTATTTATTAGTCGTGTTTGAATATAAACAAACTAACCTTCCCCCAAAATCCAGAGACTTGATCATACCAATACCTCCCGGGCTTCAACTTCTTAGGTGGGTGAGGACAGCTCTGCAAAACGACTAACTCTTGGGGTGAAAGGCATTGACCATTCACAATGACACGTTTGGAAGGGACTTGATTGGCTTTGCATGATTTCTCCAATGTCATGACCCTTTTAACCTCGTCACCGGTGAACAATCTCTTGAGCATTGCAGAGGACTTCCCTAACAAAGCGCGCTTTCTTTCATTGATCCCATAACCAATACAAGTGATGCATTTCCTCCCTTCTGGCATCGAACCCATTGCTCTTACAACACATTTGTCACAATACTTTGCATTGCAGACCAAACAAACTTCTCTCTTTACAAACATGCTTCTTTTGTGACACCGGAAACACTTCTTCGAACGAGTTGTGACGACTAAGGACTTCACCGGGAAATTTACCACGTCATTGTCACTGTTTGGGGTGATCAGATTATCACTTGACTGGATTTCAGTAATTTCTTGACTTTCTTCAACCTCTTCACTACTCAAAGCACCCGAACTCTCTGAAATTTCATTGGAATGGTCAGAAAAACCCAACGTTCCAGAACTTTCAACGCAATCATACCCTTTGTTAGAGGCACATTCGTCACCACAGATGGAATTTAAAGAACCCCTTGTTTGTGTAGACTCAGAGGAGGCCTTTGGTATCCCTTTGTTGTTGGAATGATCCTTTGTCTTGGCAATTGGTCGAATAACCGGGATTGACAATATTTGACTGTTTGATATGAAAGAAGCATCAAACAAGGTTGCTGCTGGAATCTGGTCTAAAACCACAG